TTGACATCTTAATAATAGTAAATCTTCCTTTAGCACATCATCATCTTGCAAGTTCCTCAATCTTTTTTCATCCTCTAAGAGCATTTTAAGGTTTTCTTTTTATAAATGTACATTGCTTATTATTTTTTCCCTTGATAATTTTTTATTGCTGTTTTAAATGAAATTTTTTTCTTCCATTATATATTCTGCTGCTTATTAGTATACAAGAAGACTTTATCTGTTTTTATTAAATATGTAACTGCCATCTTATCAATTAAATATGTAACTGCCATCTTATTAATTATCTGATAGTTTTAATTTTATCTTGTGTTTTTTTGGTATTCGTTCAGTTAGATCATCTAAATGATATTTTTTACCTCCATGTTTCACATTTATGCACTGAACTACTTTTGGTATGTAATTGTTAGCCCTCTTAAAAAATATTAAATAACATTAGTGGTAATCGTGGGTGTTGCTGTCTTGGTCATGAAATTAATGGAAATATTTCTACTACTTTTACTGTTACGTATGATGCTGTCTTTTATGTTAAGGTAGAGTACAAACTATTCCTGTTTTATTTTTGATTTTTGATCAGAAATAAATTTTATCATGTCTTTTGAGTATTTGTAGGTATTTTTCACCTTTCATCTTTTTATATTGTTTGCTAGTATTGAACTATTCATTCACTTCTGGTGTAAATCCCATTTTATTTTTTTTCTTTGGTAAACCACTGAAGTGTGTTCTTATTTATTTATTTTTTCACTCTTTAAATCAGTTTTTAAAAGTAAGATTGATTTATAGATTTTGAGAGGTTACTGTTTTCATCAGGTATCAACATTACACTGGCTTTGTAGAGAGTAATTGGGAAACGTCCATTGTTCCTTGTGCTCTGAGACAATTTAAGTAGCATCGAAGTTTTATGTTTTTAAAAAAAATTTTAATAGAATTTATCTGTGAAATTATCAAGGTCTAATGATTTTAAACCATTTATCTTTTAAAAAATGTTTTCTATAGAAATGGTTGATGTAGATTTTTTCTCCCTCTGCTTCTTCTGGCTTCAGTTTAATACTTTGCTGATTTTTTTCAAAAATTGTTTTTTTTTTGTAGACTTCAACTATATTTCCATTGAGATGAGCAAATTTAATTTTGCCTTCATCTGAGGTTATTTTCCTCTTTTTTCTTATTTTTTGTATTCTTATGTTTAACCCCAGCTTTCACCTTTATGACTTTCAGGTGGGCATGCTATAGAACACGTTTAAACATCATGTTCTTTATTAAAGTTTTATAAATAGTTATGCATTTAATTTTTAAAAGTAAATTTTAATGAAATGCTTCTAGAATTCTTGAAGCATTACCACAGTACTTTGTTATGAAAATTACTGATCTTGTTCATATTATTATTACTGTTGTTGTTGTTAGGTGCCGTTGAGTCAGTTCCAACTCGTACCGACCCATACTTCAGAGTAGAACTACCCTGTAGAGTTTCCAGGGAGCAGCTGGTGGACTTGAACTACCGACCTTTTGGTTAGCAGCTGAGCTCTTTACGCACTGCACTACCATGGCTCCATTATTACTGTAAAGTGACAGTATGACACTGAATGTGGCCAAAAGATTCCAAGGGTTACAAGGAAAAAATAATATCAGAATAATCAAGAATATTCTGAAAAAAATACGAGGAATGATACTGAATTCACTATGTTGGTGGTTGTGGTGGTGCCATTTGGTCGATTTTTGACTTACAGCTGCCCCATGTGAACAGAGTAGAACTGCCCCATAGGGTTTCCTAGGCTATAATCTTTACAAGTGCAAATCACCAGGTCTTTCTCTTGCAGAGCTGCTGGGTGGTTTCAAACCATTAACCTCTCAGCAGCCAAGGGCTGAACAATTACACCACCAGAGCTCCTTTTGAATTCATTGTAAAACAGTGAATTAAAATAATCTAGTAATGGTATGGAATAGACAGTAGAACAAAATAGAGTCCAGAAATACACTTAAGTATATATAAGGATTTTAATGGATCACGGAGGAAATATTTTAAATCAGAGAATAAAACAGGTTATTCAACAAAGGGTGTTGGAGCAAAAATTAGGAATTATATCTGTTTTACTTTTTTATATAAAAATAAATTCAAGTTAGATCAAAGTTATAATTTTTTTTGTAATACATTGGACTACCAAAAAGGGGATTTCTGAAAATAATCTTAGTGTGGAGAAGACTATTTTGGGCGTGGCACGATATTCAGAAGCCATAGAGGAAAATGTTGATAAATTTGAGTACATTAAAATTTAAAACTTCTTGATAATAAAAACAAAAGAGACCAGGGACACAATAGATGGTCCCAGATAGAATGGAAGAAAAATACAGAACAAAACTCAAATTCTTAAAAAAGGCCAGGCTTACCTGGACTGGTAGAGACTGGGGGAACCCCCAAGACTGTCACTGTGAGATGCCGTTTAAACTTTGAACTGAGACCACTCCCAGAGATCACTTTTCAGCTAAATAACAGATCAGCTTATAAAATAAACAACATCACCTGTGACTGCTGTGCTCCTGTATATTAAAAAAAAAATCTGAGACCGAACAGTCAACATTTACCCTATAGCAAAGATGAAAAGGTAAGAGGGGACAGGGAAGCTAGATTAATGTAAACAAAACAACCAGAATGGAAATAACAAGGATGTTGACACAATGTGGAAAATGTAACCAATGTCACTGAACAATGTGTATTGAAATTGTTAAAAAGGAACCTAATTTGCTAAGTAAACTTCACCAAACACACACACAAGAACAATAACCCCTACTCCTTCAATAAAAATGTGCACCGTAAACAAAATCTAAGGCTAATTGGGGAAAAATATTTTGCCATAAATATGACAAAACTCCAATCAGTTAGAAAGAAAAAGCAGGCCAGATCTTGAAAACAGGACATAACTTTATTTCTCTAGAAAGTCACAGAAGGTACAGATACAGGTTGTTCATGTCGTGAATAAAAAACAGTTGAATAATGCTAAATATGTGATATATAAAAACCAGAAAACGCCCATTGCTGTCAAGTCTATTCCAGCTGATAGCTGTGTGTGTGTGTGTGTATAGCTGCTCAAAAAAAGTGACAGATCTGTTGGTACAGGCATGGAAAAGTATCTGAAAAATTAGGTTAATAAAATACTTCAGTTATAAAACCAGTAAAAGTTATAAAACCAGTAAAGTATGTTCCCATGTACGTATATATATTGTATATTACACAGACTCTTTTTGCCTGTGTATAAAAAAATACTTGTAGGACTTTATTCCCTATTCTTCATAGAATAGTGGTTATTTCTTGGGAGAGGCGATAATTAATTTTTTACATCATATGACCTGAAATTCTTGAAAATTTTAAAAAATGGATGGGTTACAGAAGAAATTCTTTAAAGACTTTGTTAATTTCCTAAAGTACTGGTTTCTTGAACTCTTCCGCTTATTAACTATGACAAGCATAGTTTTTATTGAAATGAAAGTCATAGAATACAAATAATGTTTCTTTATACCATCATCTTAGAAATTTATAGTTCTCTTGCTTAAACTTATATCTTCAAAAACCAAAAAATTCATAACAGCTTAATAGAAGTCTTTATTGGCCCAAAGTTAATAAAAAATATACCTAGCTTAGAGAATCATCCTGTAAATAATTTTAAAATTGAAACTCTAGACAGTTGTAGACTAATTTTATAAATGTGAAGAAGCTTGTGCCAAATGTAGAGATTTATGAAGTTAGATCATCAGAAATTTTTGTCAAGGGCTTACCATAGAAAATGTCAGTAACATCTTTTGCCTTTTTTGGCTGAATGAAAAGATAAGTTTTATGGTAGGCATTTTGTATGGAACAATTTGAATTCCTTACAGTAATATATTTTTATGTACTAGTTATAGCTTCAAAAAAATTGCAAGTTGTTTCTGAACTTAAATTATATATAAGTACTTTGAAATTTTTTTAGTTGTATGACATTTTCATGAGGCCATGGACTAAAAACTACTGAGCTACATTTTAATAGGCATGAAATCTTTTAAATTTATAATAGATTTATATGTACAGATTTAAAATTTATACCTGGGGACTTTAATATCACACAACTCACGTTCACATGTCATTGAACATGTAATTTTTTCTGCATTTCACATTATGCTGTAGTTTGAGATCATACTATAAATTTTTTTTGATTATGAGTTATTTCAATATGTTGTTAACATTGATTTATGTTGGTTCATGTTACATTAATTTGAATGCATATTTCCAAACCAGCCACTTAACGTAGCAAGTACTTAGATTTGACTATTTCCTAAGTTTAAGTTTTATCATTTTCAGTTATCTAAGCTTTGTAGGAAATACTGTATTTTTTAATAGAAGAGGTAAGGGTTTCTTTTTCTTTAATTGAAGTATTTATATTTGGTAATAGTGATACATCAAGCATTTTATGGTAGTTGTAGTCATTTGATGTAATTTGAAGATAATGTGAAACTTTATACATGCAGAATTATTCTCATATTTGCAAAGGGTTCCTAGTTAATAGTTACTGTAATATACCATTTGTGAATTAGCAAAGAATTAAAATTCAGTAAAATACATTTAGCCTACAGGTTCTAATTTAGACTTTGATTCAGAAGCTTACAGCCAGCATCTTGAAGTACATTGGGATTGTTGTCTTGAGTAAACCATTTTCATTGTACTGTAAACATGTAGACATAGTTCTTCTAGTTAAATATTAGCTAGTAGTGAAATAGCTTTACTCAGTTGCAAGAAATTGCTCTTGACTTATTTTTAAAGGAATTTCCAGCCACTTAGGCTGATTTTAGAAGTAAACCATAAAAAACTAAAATGTAAACTACAGTAAGTAGTAAATTGAGAAGTATATAACTACAGAGCAAATGAATAGACAGCTGTCTTCACTTCACAGTTATTTTAATTTAAATATTAGGAACTAGAAAACTTATTTTTCTTCAGAAATTATTAATGTTCTATATTCCAATATTCTTAATTATTTTAGGCTGCAGTTCATGGAGCTCGTTTCAAAGGGCAGGACCTAAAACTGGCGTGGAATAAACCAGTAACTAGTATTTCAGCTGTTGAAACAGAAGAAGCGGAACCTGATGAAGAGGAAGTATGTTTTTTTTTTGTTTGTTTGTTTATTTTTCATTTGTTTTTAACCCTTAAGTGTTCATGGTTTTTATATAATTTTACGGCTGTGACTTTACCGTAAAACTTTTATTTCTGAGCCATATTCCAGGCAGGGGATATCAGATAAATGCAGTCAACTTTAAGTTTTCTGGATTAATGAAAAGAACTGTGGATTGCTAATCTAAAAGCAAATATATGAAATCATATATACTCAGTTTTCATTAACTCTTAGAAGACAGTAATTATTCATTAGATTTTTATCCACAGGAAATCCCGTAACATTTTAAGTTTTAGGGTATCGATTTTGCTCAGTTGCTTTATTAACATTTCACAACTTTCCTTTATTTTAATTCATATATTTTCAGTTTAGTGGAATGAATGCCTGCTATGTGGTAGATACTGTGATAGGCACAAAAATGAATAAGACACGGTCCCTGTCATCAAGGAGCTTATAATCTGGAAAGGGGTGGTGGTGGTAGCAGATACACAAGAAACTATAATAAAAGGCAGAATGATGTACTGAACAAAGATTTGAACAACATGCTGTGGGAACCCAGAGGAAAGAGTTAGTGTTTCTGTCCAGAAAAATCTTGAAAGAGGCGTGACAGTGGAGCTGGGCCCTAAGTGGTAAAATAGCTTTCCATAACCAAGTCCTGGGGCTGAGTAAAGTTGAAAAAAGCATTTTAGACAGGGATGAACTTCAGGAAAGGTGTAGAAAAGTTCATTTTCTTAGGCAACAGCAATTAGTCTGATGGCTGAGAGGTGTGACTATATAGGCCAGTGACGTGGGAGAACCCTTTGAAACCCAGCATAAAAATAAATAACTTTGTTTAGTCATGTAATATTTATAGGAGAAAGGCGAAGTTGAGAAGTAAAGGTAAGGTGGGAAAATGAGTCCATGTTTTACCTATCTTAGGCTTTCATAATGACACTTCATTTTGTTTGAAGGACATTTCAGGGCTGTTATACATATCCATAGTCAAATGCAAAAAATAAAGTGTGTATTTTGAAACTCATATACATGATTTGTCATTTTATATTTTAGATTATACCTTTGTCCTTCCATCAGTTTGAATTGAATGGGGAGAAAAGCAGGAGAGCTCCTGGTATTAGGTATTTTGTAAAGTTTGAAAAAGTAGTCCAAGAAGCTTTTATGAAGGGAATGGGGAATAGAAAGGAATGTTCTAAAAGAAAATGGTACATACAGCAGAAAAGAACATAAATCTTGGTAGAATTTTATATAAATTATTGGTTAATTAGTGTCCAGGTTGAGATGGGACAAATCAGAGAAGACGATGTTTTCTTTAAAAAAAAAAAAAAAAAAAAAATTATTGGACGATTTTTGACAGTACGTACGGAAGATGGCATAATTTGGTAAATAGAGACCGGAGAAATGGCATGTATAAAGACTTTGATATTTCATTAGTGCCTGTTTCATGCAAGCAATAGAAAAGATATTATAGAGAAAACACTTGAGTGGATAAAGGTTGCTTTTGTTTCTTAAATGTTCTAACCATAGGAATACCTTTTGTATTCGACTCTGTTGAGAGATATCAGTATTTAAAAGTGTCAACTTTTTTTCTTTTCTTTTTCTTTTGGGTAAATTCCTAAATACATTTTAACCTAAAGTTTCAGGAAGAGTCTTTGGTGGATGACTCATTACTTCAAGATGATGATGAAGAAGAAGAGGACAATGAATCTCGTTCTTGGAGAAGATGATTTGACTGATCATTGATCTGCATATGCTAGAACTCTGCCTGTGTTTCATTAGTATTATCTAATGTACTTTGACATATTTGTAAAAACAATTTTTGGTAAAATGTGATGAAGATGGATTTCACAAATAGACAAAAGAGAAGAAAACTACCTTCTGATCTTGTATTTTGAAAGATTGATGTTTGCGTTTTATTTCAGTAAACAATTGCTAAGACATCACACTAGAAACACATGCAATGTTTTTATTACATACTTCTACTGAACGTTACAGAATTCTTTGGGTTCTTTGTAATCTAACAGATAGGTCTGAAAACTTACGACCAATACTTGTTATAACTTAGAGGATTTTTGTTTACTCCAAATAAGGAATGAATTTGCATTTAAAATCTTAATGAATGTTTTCACAAATGAATAGATAACATAGTACTCTAACTAAAGTCTCCTTATGTAGTCATAATATTACATAGTAGTATGCATAGGCTTTACTATGTATTAACCTTTTATTGGACTTCTGTATGTATTTTACCATATGGGTTTTAATGATAACGGTGTATGACTGCTTTGCATATGAGTCCTTACGCATTCAGATGTTAAAATAAAGTGGAATGGTCTCTTGAAAAGAAAAGAAAGAAAAAAGCAATGACAAAAAAAAAAAAAGCAAAGACAACGTTCCTAAAATTTAAAAAAAAGAGAAAAAAAAAAGGAAAAAAAAAAAAGAAAGGAAAAGAAAAAAAAAAAACAGACCATTCCAGATGGTAATCTGCCCTTTCCCCCAATTATCACAAAAGGAGCTATAATCACTAACTTTTTCATAATAATGGTTACTGGTACCTTTATAATAATGTACAATCCAATGTTTAAAATTTATACCACTTCAGTTTGGTTTGATCCTATAAATTTTCAACAGATGTCTTAAGATTTAAAAGCAGGCTGATTAGTTTGGAAGCAGACTTCAAGTAGAGCTAACATTTGATGAATAAGAAAACATCACATTACATTTTGGATTTATGAAAGAAAACTTGACCATTTGAAGATGTATGAATAAAGAAATGTACTATAAGTACTACTTTAGGAAAACACTGTTTGGTAAGTGTTCCAGTCTGATATTTTAAGTGTGCATTTCCTATACATGTATAAAAATCTTTGACATTTGCAAAAAAATACTGTGATTTTTAATGGATTTTTCTGGCAAGTGAACATGATCATTGAAAATTAATACAGCAGTTTCCAGGAAATAAATGTGTTCTTTGTAGAATGAGGGGGTGGGTAAATACGTACTTATTTCTAAAAATTCATTACAGTTAAAAGTGTTTCTGCCCCTCCTGAAATTATAGTTATTACATGAAGAGTCACATTTTTTTAAATTACTGTCTTTCTGTATTGAGGTCCTCACAATCTGTAATTTCACCACCACCATAATCTCCTGCCAATGGGATACCTAATGGGTGCCGTTTTTCTTTTTCTCCCTGAGCCCCAGACTTGGAGTTAAAATTGTGTATATGTTTTTGATGGTAATATTTCATAGGAATGTTTTGGCTTGCAATTGGTGCATATGTTTATATTTAAAGTTTCAGAATCACATTTCAGATGGCAAATAGTGACTTTACTCAAAAACTTTTTTTACTATACTTAGATCTATGATATATTTTTATATAGTCTCTTGTATGTTGACTGTGTTGCTATTCTGATTCATTAGGTAAGTGTGTTTTCTTTTCTTTTTAGTAGTCGTGAAAGGTGCCAAATTGGCAGAGGCTCACGTTTCTTCTCTTTACACCAAACAGGTATTATAAAGAAAGTAAATCTTTCAAAAGCCAGTTAAATCTCCATGCTGATTTTTGGCTTTATAATTTGATTAGTATATTTTAGCCTGATTTTTTAAAAATTACTGTAAAATTCCCTTATAATGTAACTAAAATACCTACTCTGTTAATTTAAATTTGTAAATAGCTTATCAGTTTTCCTAGTCTAAAATTCTGTAGTAACATATAACTTAAAATGTCTTAAGCCATGTAGCTTTGAATGAATCAGAAGAAGAAAAGTGTGTTTTGATTTAGTCCCAGAGTCAGGATTAAATATTAGCAACATTCATTAGATTCACAATTGTATTTAATTAGCATTAATATAATTTTACTTATAAATATTACTTAATATTTAATTTCTATTGGGGTTTTTATTAATGAGTATGTCTATACATGCTTAGTACGCTACATGTACTTTCATGTGTTCTCACTTAAACCTTAAGATAGCCCTTTGAAGTACTTGTTAATTCCTGTTTTACAGATAAGGAAACAGGCTAGTAGAGGTGGAGTGACTTGCCCAGAGTCACAGCTGGTTAGTGAAAGGACAGGACTTGAATGCAGACATTCTGATTTCATTGCCAACTTTTTTTTTTTTTTATAATTTTTCCTTGCTACCTCCTTAATTACTGATTAAACATGAGATTGTGTTTACAGTAAACGTGATAGTTCTTACCTCAAATATACTGTACAAAAGTAGTAGACTTCTTGGTCATTAGCCAGTTCATATCGTTACCCTCCTTCTTAATACAGCGCTTTGTTCATATTTCTGTTACGGTACTTATGTTGTAATATAATTTATCTGGTTCATATGTCTGTCTTCCCCACTAGATTACAAGCTCCTCAAGGAAGGGGACCATGTCTTATTCATCTTTTTCTCTCTAGTGCTTATCACAAAGCCTGACTAGTAGTGGGCACTCAGATGCTTGATGGATGAATTAATGAATGAATGTATATTTAAATCTCCAATAGAGGAGTGACATTTACCTCCCTTGTTAATTCTTACAGTTTTTCAAAAATCTCTCTTGAAGGTCTTTTCTGTCACTGGGATTATTTTGCTAAACAATTAATACAGTTTAATTTCTCACCAGTGGGGTTACAGGTACTGATGGAAGCTATACCTGTAGTCTGAATGGAATTTCCACAGCAATTAATATGACATTAAGATTTTGAAATATTGTATGTTTTAGTCAGTTTCAGGTGTAAAGTAGTCTTGGTTTCTGTCAGTGTGTAAGATTAGAAATGCTAGGAGCCACCAATCTAGTTTATTCCCACTAGTGTTTTGTATCCAAAGGTGACCTAGGGTAGACTGCTAGACAATGGTTAAGAGATTTAGCTTTTGGTCCCAGCTTTGCCATTGACTGTGGCCTCAGACAAGTCTCTTAACTTGTCTAGGGCTGCTTCCTTGTCTGAAAATGAAAGCAGTTGAACTAGATGATTTCTAAGGTGCCTTTTACTGCTATAGTTTTCATGGTGGCATATTAGTGTTTGATCTAAAACAATTTACTACATCTAAACTGATTATCTGTTGTTTCTGTTGCTGTTGTTTCTATCAGATCAATGGAAACAACTTAGATTTGGTTATGATAACTCATATATTGACTCTTAGTACAGTTTTGTATATAGTGTTCCCAAATGCTTGCATTTGCCAGCACAAATTCTATTCAGCCTATTTAATATAGGTTAATTTCTATATGGACTAGCACTTCCCTTTCCTAATTATAACCTTTCTTTCACTTCTAAATTCAAAGTTTCAAAAATAACAAGTATTTGCCGATAATGCAGATACAGCCAGTTTTCCCACCATTACGGATTTAAGTGTCCTCTGTTTCATCTTGGTTTACTTTACTCTTTACTTTTATAATATGCCATCTAAAATCTCTAAACACATTTTTAATTCTATAGCTCTCCTAACAAGTTCTTTGCTTTAGTACAGGTCTGGGCTGTATAGGATCAGTTGGGAGTGTGAAAAGAATTGAGGACAATGTAGGTATCTACTTCTTACAGGAAAAAATGAGGGAAATTATATTTTACTGGTTAAAAGATTAAGATTACCTCAGGGGATGGTTGAGTTGTCATTTTACATTTTCACTCACTATTTTGTATCTACTTAATACTGTAATAATTGTAAATCTAAAAAAGTATTTAAGCGTTTAACCGATGCCCCAAGTATCTAATGAAAACGTGTTGTAGGAATGGCCGAGTGTTCCATAGCCTTTGTTTTATTGTGCTGTGATCAAATGTAACAACCAGTAGTTTACTGTGAAGGCAAGAGTTTACCACTTTAGCAGATTACTGGTAGAAAATATGGCTGGGCTTATTTGAAGGAAATTTCTTGTCACTAGAATTGTTTTATGGAGACTGTCTTGCTAATCTTTCTTGGAACAGTAATCAGTAGCTATAAGGGTTACAAGAAAGCAAACAGTTGCTTGTTTGGTATGTTGAACTATAAATATAGATACTTAGAGTATTCTAAAAGCTTTAACAATCAGTATTTTCTTGTTTTTCTCCCCTTACACATTATGCAGATGTATAGTTGTAGAAAATTCGTTGTAGTCACTCTAGAATTTGTAAAAGTATTTCTAAGGTTTTTTCTTCTATTACAAAAATCTATTAACCTTTTAAAACAAGTATGCCCTGCATGAGATTCTAGTTAATTAAGTTAGTTCATTTATTGGTCTCTCTCTCTCGGCTTTTCTTGTTCTCCTAAAACCCTATAAATTAATGATGAAAATTTAATCTAGAATTAAATCAGTGTACAATGTTGGTAAGGCAGAAAGAGGATTTCCTTCTCTCAGATCTCAGAAACAACCTTGTTCTTACTAACTTCTTAAACTGGTTAGTTACTCGGAGGTACGTATATAGGCCTTTAGAGAAGAGTAGTTGTTTACCTATGAGATAAAAGAAAAAAATCCTGGTGTACTTGACTGATGTTCTCAATAATTTCTAATAAAAATAGCATGTTTGCTAAGTAGAGAAATTCCTAATTTGATAAATGCATTTCTTGCAGTTTATCAGTATTATGTGCTTATTATTTAGTATAATTGAAAGCATTTTTTCTAATTTTACTTTTCGGTATCAGTTTACTCTTGCTCCTTCCTAACTCTCTCCCTCCTTGTTGCTTTGTTTATTTCACCCATCCACTTGTCTTCCTATCATCCAGAAGTTAGACTTCCTTTGAATATCAGGCACTGTCTTATTTTAGTATGTTCCTTTTATTTTTTGTTGCTGACCTTTATCTCAGTATAGAATTTTGTTATATGGTGTGATTAAAGAATGAAGTGATTATCGCATGGAGTTTAAGGTTATTAGATATATATCTCCTGGTTACTTTGGAATCTTTGAGAAACTTAAGAAAATTATTCTTGCTTTTATTTTTATTTATAATATCTCAGAATTTGTTTGTGATTTCTTAGTTACTTATCCACACCTCTGTGAAAATTTACAATCTGGTCAGTTACTAGATTTCTAAACCAAAATTTTAAGTCACAGCTGTGTGGTAGTCCTGTGGTTTTTGCAGCTTAATGTTTAAAGGAAATGTGATGCAGAGACGTTTTGTTAAAATCACTTTAACCCAAAGCTGATCAATATTTTGTGCAATTTGTCTCCAACATCGGTTTTAGTTCCTTTCTCAAATAGATGTTTTAATTAAGAAAAAGTTGGTCATCAATTTATGGTGTGATTTAATTTTTAGATTTTATTTTTTATTTTCAAAGTTTTAATAGTCTTCTCTTTTTCCAGCAGAGAGAGATCGTCATTGCGTGAATTTAGCTCTGGGACTACAACAGCGAGAACTGTTCCTGTCTGGAGATGACTGTTAAAATAATACCATCCTACCATTTCATGTTTGCCCTTTACCAATTTGACTAGAGGTTTACATGTACTATAATTAACATTTCATCTTTGCAGTTCTCTAAGGGTACATCTGAGTCCAGAAGTGTGTCTCGGTGTGTGCTTTGACCTTACTCTTAAATGTTTTCCCCCTTTACTTTATAACCATTTAGTTTTTAAACATTTAGGAAGGAACAAGGCCTTTTGGTTTCCTAATGTGAGATAAGTTCAGCTTCAGGTAAATTGAGAGTTGTGTCTAGGAGATCTCTAAACATGATGCTGTGCTCATTCCCATGAACAATTTAGAATGAAGAAGGTGGTTAAAAAGTTAAGCATGCATTTGGTTTTAGGATGTATTTCTGGGGTTAGAATAGCCCTTAAAATAATTTTGAACAAATTAAAAAATACTTTTTTACACACTGCAACAGCTTGCCTATTCTGAATATACTCATTGAAGTCATTGCCAAGGCCACTTACCTGAATAAAAAAAAAAACAAAACAAAAACTTTAGCTCTTCAAAACAAAAAAGGAGATTGTCTTTCTTTTCAAGTAATAAATGATCTGTTGATTAGAAATATTGACAAACATCTATTAAATGTCTACACAGTTTTTCCATGTTTTCTTCACTTGCAGTCAGGAGATCAAAGACAATCTTAAAAGCAAGAGGAAATAGGATTATATGTCTAACATTGTTAAAGACTATGTAGTTTTAAAAATTATATGGCCAAATTTTTTATTAATAAGCAGTATGGTTTAGAATTATTTATAAAGACTATAATTAAATTACACCTTACATATTCACCCAAAATACTCTTTTTATAATGGACACCATAAAATTTTTGCAAAATTAATTCCTTAGTATTCCTTCATATATTCTCATGAAGCATTTGAGAAGCCAGAAGTTGTACTTGATAACAACCCTTGATTAGAAAAGTCCAAATTATACTTGATTCTATTTATCTTGATTTTTCAGTTCCATCCAGCCATGCTCTTTTTTCACTTTTTTTTGGTGCAAAGTTGACGATTCTGCAAACATTTTTTTCTTGAGTGTGCATTGCATTTGTTCTCATGAAAAATAAAAAGAATGCAGTGAACACACCAGTTGTAATGGGCACATCATGGTTAGTGTTAGACTTGGTGTAAAGGAAAATTACATATTTTGAAAGGTCTTCTAACATAAATATGACCTAATAGCCTACAAGTCATTTTTTAATTAGACTTTTGTTTCGTTTTGTTCACATTTGTAAACTCTAGCAGCTAACTGCAGAGAGTTTATATTTTCCCAGATAACTCAGTACTTTTTCTTTTCAAGGAAAGATTCTCTGCCACTAAAATAGGGGTTTAGCTGCTACATTAGAAACCCAAAGAACATAGTCTGAAGATATAATACTCGCTGTTAACCGTTTTGATTGGTTAATGGATGTAGACCACATACCCTACCATTGTCAACTGTTTTTTTCTTTTAAATTAAAAACAAAGCAAAACAAAATTGAACATGTCATTGGAAACCAGAAGTCAAGATGACTTGATTCTTATTAAGATCATTGTGCTTTTTGGTAATTGATGTGAGATCGAGTAGGTTATTTACATATTTAAATTCTTCTATGTTGGTTAGTTGGAGATACTCATTTCATCTCTTTGAGTAGGATTCTCATGGAGCTATGTGTAGATTACTGTACAGAATCACTTGTGTAATTGAATGAAGCAGTTTACCCCTCTGCATGATTGCGTTATGGAAATCTTTTCTATATCTTTATATTTTTCGATATACTTAGATTTTACACTATAGCTGCCCTAGTCATGCTATATTTTTTTTTTTGTTGTTTTTTTTTAAATAGAGTTTATAAATATTTATGCTCAAAATACAGATCAACTGAATATTTTTGGTCTGGTTTACAAGACAATACTTTAAAGTGATGCAGCCCCTCAAGTGTCTTAGGAAAAAGTCATTGGTGCTACAGAACTTTTCAATATAATTTTTGAATCTGTTGTCTAGACTTCATTATCGCTTATGACTTATTCTAATCTTGCAGCATAATTATAAAAGTGGTCTGTGGTGAGTCAAATAAAGAGCCCAGTCCATTGGAAACACCTCATAATTTAAAGATAAAGTGATGCAGAAAGACTGAACTTATTTGTGCCCAGCTTCGCTAAAAGAAAAGATAGTTTGATAAGTTTCTCATTAGCTTTTTTTGATAAGAGGAAGGATGTTAATTTGGCAAAAATAAAAAATGACAAATTCAGCATCACTCAGTTTTCCCACATTTCAAATAGAAAAAATTTTCTAGTCCTAAAATACGTTGTCATCCTGCTCTGCTTTAAATTCCCACCTTTCTTTCACGCAGCAGGAGCCAAAGTAATTCTTAAATATTTACCAAACATTTGATGAGTTATAAAGAGATGCATTATTTACATTGTATAAGTTTTGCATTGATGTATAGAATTTTTTTTTTTTGTCCCCAAGACTTTGTTCCAGCACCTTAGTGAATGTTCTTAAGATACAGTTTTTTTAAGTATCAGCAAAGCATTCATAGTTGTTTACTTTGGATTTTCAGAATCCTGAACCTGTTTAGGGTGTGATACTACTTCAGAATGTATTGTCTGGCACAAGATTTCTTTCAATAAGTGGTTTATTTTAACTCAATTTTTGTGGATTGTTGAATCTAAAAACACCAAAGGAGTCTTTTCTTGTCTGAAGACTGGAGTGTTCCAGTTTTTAATACCTGTGCCCATAAGTATCCCATTTCACGAATGTGTGTTGGCATGGGGAAAAAATTCCCTGCTCTTTGAGTGGAGCGAAAGTAATTGGTTAAGCTGTAGCAGCTTTTTTGTTCATTTTTTAAAGTGATAATAAAACTTGAACTGACAAAGGTAAAACTTGAACTAGAAAATTACTCTTGTATTGCTTAGAATGTTTATAGTATTACATGTTTATGTGGGGTCGTCAGCATTTTTATTATTTATAGTTGAATTATGTTGTTTCGTTTAAATATCCATAATGTTTATTATTTTTATATTTTGAAAATTTTTAAAATAAAATAGTCTTACTAAAAATACTTGTTAACATTTTGTAAAATTGTCCTACATCTTGTATCAGTTATGTTAATATAGAATGGAAAGAAAAATCTGCAATCCTCAGGCATTACATAATTTCGAATTCTGAAAATGTTATGCGAAGAAATGGCTCCACATTGTCTCTTCTGCTCCCTTTACCATGTGTTCTCATTTTAAGTTGTTCTAAGTCAGCGCTGGCCTAATAGCGCTGGCCTAATGACTCCTTTTCTCACACATACACAAATCCTCATTACCCTTCTCCCTAATTACTGCCTCAACTGCTGAAAGTTTTCTCTTTATTTAGGGGCCAAAAAGTTTGCCTTATCATGAGTGATATGTATACTATTGTGATGTCAAAGAAGGAATGCTGTAGATTCTGAAGTCGAGTTAGACGTAAAATAACACTCAACCTCCAAAGCCATTGAAAATTTTCAGAAATTTCCTCCATAGTTTTCACCTGAACATTTTTTTTCTCCTGGTCGAATTTGGTCTGCTATTCAGCATTCACCGTATTCATTTTATGTTTAATTGACTACTGTTTTTTTCTCATTGCAAATATACCTTAAATCATCTAGGAAAAAAACAAAAACCAAACCTGTTGCCATCAAGTCAGTTCCGACTCATAGCTACCCTATGGGACAGGGTAGAACTGCTTCATAATGTTGCAAGACTGTAATCTTTACTGAAGCAGACTGCTGTATATTTCTCCTGAGGAGTGGCTGGGGGTTCAAACCTCCGACATTTCAGTTAGTGTAGTGCTTAACCACTGTCACCAGGGCTCCTAAATCGTGTATAACATGTGGGGTAAATAAACATGGTGGCACCTTGTCTTCCACTTGTAAACGATATTGCTTCTCAGGGAAAACAGGTTCTCATCTCAAAGTGCATAACTGATACAAATCTTGTTAAAGACATCTGGTTGGGAAATAGAGGACTCTAGCTTGAAATAGATTGAAATTGGTTAATAAGTGATGCTACACTTGGTAAAATTATAAAAAAGCATTTATATATATGTAGCCTCTGGAGTATTTGCAGATTGAGCATGTTAATGCCAGCCTTCACTTAACCTGAGAAGTATTTCTACACAAAGTATGAATGAATTTTTTTTAATGCTTTAAGATGTGTAATATATTAAGTGTAGAAAAGCTAGAAATTTAAAGTTAAAACAATGGAAAAATTTTTTAAAAAGTATAGTGTGATAGAAAGCCCATCATCTAGAAATACAATCCCTGTTGTTACTGTTAGTTGCCATCTAGTCAATTCTGAATCACTAGATATTTAAAAAAATAGGATTATATGATGTATACTGCTTTGTACCCTTTTTTCACTTACGATGATAAATTTGTATCTATACATTTTTAAGAGCTCCTCTATTAAATATAAAGGTCCTTGGGTGGTGCAAAAGGTTTGTACTCTGCTACTAACCTAAAAAGTTGGCAGTTTGAGCCCACCCAGCAGTGCCATGGAAGAAAGACCTGACAATCTGCTTCCATAAAGATTATAGCCAAGAAAACTATGGAGCAATTCTGCTCTGTAACACATGGGGTCGCTATGAGTCAGAACTGATGACAACCAATTTGGTTTGGTTTATTATGTATAAAAAACTCAACCTGTTGGCGGCCATCGAGTTGATTCTGATCCATAGCGACCCTATAGGGCCGATAGTAGAACTGCTTCATAGGGTTTCCAAGGCTGTAATCTTTATGGAAGCCGACTGCCCATCTTCCTCCGGCCGAGCGGCTGGCAAATCAATCTTCATTTGGGAAATTTAGGCCCTTTCCATTTTTTTATTTAAACAGTGCTGTTGTCAGTACATTCGACCATCTTTGTGCCTTTGATTATTCAGGATATAGTCTCAGAACTGTTGGGTTAAAGTATCCACGTTTTTAAAACTTGTGATAAATTTTGAATATTGGTCTTTTATAAAGCAGATACTGTGTATAAGCACCTATAGTGAATCTGTTGTAAATCTGAGAGTTTGAGTAAAGCTTTGGAGAATAGCTTAAGTTCAGTTCTGTCTGCACATACTAGAATTTATTGCATTTACTTCATGGTTATAACAGGAACCAAATTATGCTTTATATAATAATTAAACTGATGGTAATTGTAACACTGTTATTGAGGTTCTCCACAATAGGATTTTGTATACCATAGCAATTTTTTTTTTCTTGGTACTACTAGTCTTTTTGTAATTTTGTTATGGCATTTAGTAAATTTTTGAGGGGACTTTTACAGTCTCATAACTAGTCTGTATTGAGAGGTAGTGCAGATAATCTTTACCTATATTTAATAAGTGGCAGAATCAGGACTGAAATTTCCATTTTTAATACCATATGCAAAGAGGCACCAGATAAGAATTCACAACAATGAAAAAAACACTAATTTTTAACCTCCACTTCCAAACTGCATTACTAGAAAAATACAATTTGTGTTCTCCTCATTAAGTTCATGAAAAT